TAAGGTAATCAACATGATAACGGTAACGTTTCCATCTCCTATGCGTCCTCCTCTTTTCATTGATTATTTTTATGGTAGATGATGAAACCATAAAGGGTATTCTCTTTCATATTTCCGAAACATAGAAACAAATTGTTCAATGGCGTCATTATTGCTCAGCGCCTTCCTCCAGTCTATCATCGGAAGGTGAGTATTAAGTAAATCAAAATTAGTTCTATGATAATTGTAGAAGACGAAAATTCAATAGTTGTGTGAGCTATGTCCTCAGTAACTAAAGGGCAATTACTTAACATTATATCGGTTACGGTATGAAAATTTGTAAGAACTAGATCCAAAGTATTTCGAAAAGCATTGGTATGATAATTGAATTAGGGATTGAGCATCAAGAAGTCCAGTGAGCGAATACTGTCGTTTTCTGAACAGAATGACACGCACCGACATCTCACACCCATTTTAGCTCAGGTAGATTGAAATCTCCGCATATAAGAAACTTAACGTTAGGAAATCTTTGAAGTAAGATAAGGAGTTGATCGATAAACGAGTATAGTGCAGAGCTATCTTGGGGTCGAATGTAAATGCTGCAAATGTGAAGAGACGAATTATCAAAACGAAGTGTCAAGCTCGCCGGATCAGTCTCGACAAACCAATCGGAATGACTGGTTGCGGGTATATTAGAAGAAACATCGATGAAATTCATTCCGATCATTGTTGGCTATCGCATCCGTAAACATTGAAATTACTGGGAAAAACTTCGAAAAGAATGCAGCCACGTCTCATTGTCAGTCAAACAAATAACATTATAGTGAGAGTTTAAGAGGTTATTATACAAAGTATCTAGTTTGGTTCGTAGACCGAACCATAATAATGTTACTCAATTCCAACAAGATGGCGCGCCACAATACTTCAACAAGCATTACTAAATCACTGTTTGACACTTAGAAAATTGAAAGAGTTATCCATGTTGCAAGATTAATAATCAAATAAAACCATGTAAAAACTTCTAACTTGCATTTATTTATATAAAGTCGTACTAGTTTCGGATTACCCCATCATCAGCGACAACTATAAAGATTACAAATCATAAGATAACAAATATGTAAGGTGGTAAATATAACAGAGTAAAGTTAACTCGAAAAAATTTAAAAGGATTAATGTAATAGATTTATTATTTAAAGTGTAAAAATTAGAAATTAGAAGTTGTGTTAAAGTGCAAAACTAGAAGTTCAAAAATATGTTAACAATAAAAACAAAAAATCTTAAATGAGCCTTAAATTAACTTTATAATAAAAAAATTTATAAAAAAATATAAACGAATTTTATTTTTATTTTTATATTTTTTAAACGAAATCTAGATTTTAAGGCAAGAAATACTCGATAAGAACATCATATAAAAAAATCTAACCACGAGGAAAACGAGGAAAAGTGAAAAATCCATAAATCAAAAATAATTTGAAAAATACTTACAGCCAATGAAGCTATAATAGGTGTAGACTGGAAATCGGAAAAGAATAAAGCATTTTGTTATCTGATGGATACACAAAATGAAGATAAAAGATGAAAAATGGCGACGTTAAAAAGTATGGAATCTAAAGAAAAATGAAAATATAAAAATTTTTAAAAAAAACCATGCAAAAAGTATTAAAAGGGCAATAATATAAGAAATTAAAAAGTAATTAATGAAAATGAACTTACGAAAATTTAAGAGGATGCGTTGGTGGGATGAGATGAGGCGAGACTGAATAAATCAGGTCAGAACAATTGTTAAACTGGATAAGAGAGATATAAATACAATTAGAGAGAAAGGGAAAAATCGGTTCATGAAAGAAATTAAATTTGAAAAAGATAAAAGGAAAATATGAAGATAAATTTAATTTTTAAAAAAGGGAAAAAAAATTCGTAAATTTAAGGTATTTGAAAATAGGTTTGTATAAATTTTGAATTTGATCATTAAGCGAAGCAAAGTTATTATTGTTATTATGTTTATGGATTTCAGACAATTCCAATAGATCAAGTCTATAACCTTTTTGGCATTTATGAATAAGTGAACTATTATCAAAATTAATGTTATGTCCCGTTTCAACTCTATGTTTGTAAATATTAGATTGAATTTTAGTTTTGTGTTCATTAATTCTGTTTTCCAGTCTACGGCCTGTTTGACCAATATAAATACCGTTACAATTAGAGCATCCAATCGAATACACCCCATTTTCTTTAAGAATATCATATTGTCTGCAATGATAATTAGATAAAAGTTTAAGTAAAGAATTATTGTTGGAAAAAGCTAAGGTTATATTAAACTTTTTAAAAATATGTTTAGACTCCATAGTAATATGATTAAAAGAGATAGGTTTATAAATAGAAATGTTATGAGTTTTAGTGAATAAGGGATCTTTTTGTTGTTGTATTCTGTTATGAAGTTTATTTATGACATTAGGAGGAAAACCAAAATGAAAAGCTAAGTTATGGATGTAGTTAAATTCTTTTATTCTGTTGCTCTCAGATAAAGGTAATTAAGAGCTCTATTAATCAAAAATCTGAAATTAGCTAATTTATGTGACATAGGGTGGGAAGAATCGTAAGGAATTGTGGTTGGAATAACTGTTGGCTTCCTAAAAATGTCATAAGTAACAGATTCGGAGTTATCTCTGGTAATTGTAAGATCAAGAAAGTTGAGAGTTTTATTTTTTTCAATTTCAAGTGTGAAGTTAAGTTTAGGAAATAAGTCATTCAAATAATTGTGAAAATCATTCAACTCGGCAGTACTCCCTTCCCAAACACAGAAGACATCATCAACGTATCTTATCCATTTATGAATATGGTTTTTAAAGAAATTATTGTTGTTAATTATATAGTTATTTTCAACATGATCAAGGAAGATGTCTGAAAGAAGACCGGATAAAGGCATGCCCATCGGAAGCCCTTCACTAATATGATAAAATTCGTTGTTAAAAGAACAATAGTTTTGAGAAACGACATGTTTAAGTAATTTATTTAACTGTTCTATAGTATTATTATTATTGAAAAATTCTTTAAAAATATCAGAAACGAGGTTCAAAGTAAAATCTATTGGAACATTGGAATACAAATTTGTTACATCAAAAGATATTAAGGTTTTATTTTTGTAATTTAAATTATGAGTTTGTTCAATGAATTTAATGGAGTTATTAATCGAAAATTTAGGTTTGAAATCTATAGTTTTGAAAATCTTTAATAAAAAACTTAAAATTTTTTCTGTAGGCGAGTTATTAAATGAAGTAATGGGTCGAATGGGCATGTTTTCCTTGTGCAGCTTGGGAAGAGAGTACAGCCTCGGGATGACGGGGTTCATATGTATAAAAAATGAACTGTTGAAAAATTTTTGGTTCTGTAGAAAAGGTGTGTATTCGATCAGAGTCTCCTTACATTGGTTTATTATTTCTCTGATTTTTATATTTTTAAATTTTTATATTTTCATTTTCTTTAGATTCCACACTTTTTAACGTCGCCATTTTTCATCTTTTATCTTCATTTTGTGTATCCATCAGATAACAAAATGCTTTATTCTTTTCCGATTTCCAGTCTACATCTATTATAGCTTCATTGACTGTAAGTATTTTTCAAATTATTTATGATTTATGAGTTTTTCACTTTTCCTCGTCTTCCTCGTGGTTAGATCTTTTTATATGATGTTCTTATCGAGTGTTTCTTGCCTTAAAATCTAGATTTCGTTTAAAAATGTCGCTGATGATGGGGTAACCCGAAACTAGTACGACTTTATATAAATAAATGCACGTTAGAAGTTTTTACATGGTTTTATTTACTTAGGAAATTGTTTAAAATAAGTGGTTACCATAGTTACTTATGGCTACTGCTATTTTTATCATATCATTCAAATATGAACTAATTAAAAATTTAAAATCTACATCGAAATGTCGCAAAAAATTTAAATCTTCAAACCCGTTTCAGGGATTTTTCCATAAACCTTACTTTACGGACCCACTGTATATCCGAAAATTCGAAGTGTTCGTCTTTTACAATATTTGCAAAGGACTGTTATGTGATAAAACGTTAGGAATTTTATTAACGATATTGGTTTAATCGCGAATTTCAGTAAAACCAAAGTTTTTAGGAATAAACTTTAAACTAATTGATTTTTTATTCTAACGATTGTTACAAATGCGGCAGACAAAACTAACTTAATCTTACAACGACATTGAGAAGCTTTTGTAATAATCGGTTATCTAATTCCTTAATCCTAACATCCTTCTCTAATGGGATCCCCGGTGGTGCAACATTCCTCCTTTAATTCCAGGACTTCAGCATAGGTGATGCTCCATAAAAATGATTTTTCAAAATAATCTTTAATTTTTGAGATATTAATTTTTAAACGTAATGAGGCATTTTCTTATTTTTCGGGATCAACAATCATTTTGAACCATTTTAAAAAAATCATAATACATCAAGATTTCAATAAATCAGAATGAAAAAGTTTATTTTATTTTCTAGCGTGAACAATTATCTCAAAATTTCAATAAATCATTATAAAATTATTAGTATATCTGATTCGAATTATAAGCTTTCTAACGAATGAAGCGATTTTTCAAAACACGTTTTAATTCTTGACATATTAATTTTTAAACATAATAAGACTTTTATTATTTTAGGAATATACTCCGATATTCTGTAAAATTTTTAAAAATGTTTTTATTCCTTTGAAATTGATACCACTTCTTGGTTAGCTTTAAAGATTCTTGGAGAATGTTACTAAATCGCTAAATATAGTTGGAAACCCCAAAACATCCTCGAGAATGTTTAAAAATCCATCGAAAGAAAAGTTTACACCTTTATTGTATGGTACTATTGAAAAAAATTAGTTTTTATTATTCCAAAGTTTAAACTAAAAACTACTCGACCAATCATCCTGAAATTTTTTACACATATAAATAGTAATGTCGTTTTAAAAATATGTAGCCAACTATCATTCTCAACGCCGTGGTTACAAGATTTGTTTTGAAATCGATTTGGAAAAGTTTGATCAATAAACTACAAAAATGACAGAGTTTAGCTCCTTTGACATATTAAAATTAGCCGATCTTCTCCGGCCACCAAAAGATGATAATTCCGATGATGAGGATCAAATTCCAAAACCATCCGTACAAAGTAAGTAGAAAGATTATTTGATCGTTTGATATTATTTCCTTCAAACCACTTTAATTTTGATCTTATGACCCAGCAATCGATGCCACAAACTTAAACGAACTTGAATCTGATAAAACTACAAAAACCGACAATGAAAATAATGCCGAAAGCGAAGAAGACAGTGATCCCGAGGAGATGGCTAGGAAATATATGGAAAAAGAATGCCCTCAAGCTACAATCGATTGGAAAAAATCTCCTCAATGGGACGTATCTTATCGACAACAAGTAACACCTACAGATGTTTTTTTGCAGGTAAAAATTGGTTCTTTATGTTATTTTTTTAAAAGAAAAATTATAGATGGGTGGAAAAACACCAGCGACTTCAAGTTGCGAAGAGATGATTTTAAGCGTACATCTTCCAGGCGAAAAAAGACAAAATGTTGATGTTAAAATTACAAAGGAACGATTAAATTTAATTTCACCCAATTTTAAATTGGACATTCCGCTACCGCATCCTGTTGATCCACAAAAAGGGAATGCCCAATTCGATTCTGAATCGGAAAAATTAATTCTAACTTTATTTTTAGATAGAGAATTCGATTTTGTTAACTTTTAATTTCATTTTAGATTTCGTATTATTTTTTATTTCTAATAATTTTTTATTTATTAAATTTACTATTTGTTTTGTGAGTAAATGTTTACGGTAGTTTATTGAAAGTAAATTACACTTAATAAATGTAACAAATTTTACAAAAGTATTTATATTTACCTTTATATTTTTACGATAGCGGAAGTATGATTGTAAAATAAAAACCCTGAACTCCATATAAGGAGTAATAATTTTGAAAATTCACACACACAGGGTTATAGATTGAAATCGTCGCCTTGTAAAACGACGACGCCGTTGTAAAAACAATTTCGAGGAAGTAAATCACTTTATAGTTATAAAAGAATCCTTGACACTGGATGGCTGTAAGCAAATATATTTTCATCAGCGTCGTACACGCGTCTTGTTTTCAGTTCCGTTCTTGAACGCGTTTAGTTCGGGTCAGGCCTTTCGTAGAATTTTTGAAAAAAAAATTTTTGAAAGTGCAGTGACCAAAAACAAATCCACTTTTTGTTACTCTAAGTAAGTGTTGCAGGTGCGTAAATTTAATTTAGCTCAATAGGTATAATAACTGTATGTATACAAACATAATGCAAATTCAGATGAATTTTAGATGATAAGAAAAAAAATAATGAGTTTACCATTTTTTTATCTTCTTAGGTGGTCGTTTATGACGAAACGTTCCGCTTAATTTGCATTATAAAAGTCACATGTGTTAAATATCTGTAAAGGAGGAGATTGTATCAGCGGAAATTGAAACAGTATTGCAGAGCGAAAATTTGCTGTAAAATGAACATTTTTAAAAGAGTTTTATGCGTTGGATTTTTTATTTTAGTTTTAATGTCTTTTATGAAATCCGAATCAAATCAATCAAGTAAGTTTTAAATCAATTTTATTTGCATTAATTTTATGTCGAAAATAAACGATATGTTTTTAATAGAGAAAAAGTGTTAAATTTTAAAAAATTGTCTGTCATATTTATGAGGGCTAAGCAATAATTCTTGCACCTAAGAAAAGCCTAATTTTCTTATTTCAGGAAATATAACAACAAATGCTTTAGGATTAAAAAGATTCTGTAAAAAAAATGTTGCGTTCTTGAAGATGTTGAGTTGATTCACAAAGTAATAATAAATTTAAAAAAATTATGATGGTCTTAATTTTGAAACTTATACAAAACTTTTATAACAAATTAGAGCTTAAACTTTATTTAAGATTTTAAGAAAATCTGACTATCAATGCAACGACAAAATAAATGCATTTTTAATAGAGAGAAAATGTTGAAATTATAAAAATATATATTCTCGAGAACTAAACTATAATTCCTGTCCCAAAATAAAGCCTAAATCTTATTTCAGGAAATACAAAGATAATTGTTCTAGGATTAAAAGATTCTGTTCAAAAGTTTTAGGGATTTAGGTGAATCACTAAAAATAGGATCGTATTAAAATTTGATTTTGAAAATAATGAAGTTATTTTTATCAATTTAAATGATTCATTAGTTAAGTATTTAACATGAATGTACCATAACCACAGATAATTTTGCATGCTATGTGGTATGGCGGTATTTAATTGTCGATTAAATACTACATTATAAGCAACGTTTGTGTGTTTAAGATGACTTTACTAAGAGTAGTTTTTTAAGCCATATGTGTATATACATATATTGTCTACAGCGATTAATGAAAAAAATATTGTATACAGTATATTTAAAAAGGTGGTTAATATACATATACTGCACGGCTGTATGAATCATACTGTATATTTACAATTAAACGTTTTCCAACTGTTTGAGTCAATACAAATATTATATTGTATCAAATCAAGAAATCGCAAAAATAAGGTTAATTTATCACATTAATTTATCTTTCATGTTATCGTTCACTAGACTATCGTGATTTTGAACAGTAAACCGTCGCTAAAAGTGTCTGTATGTTTTATATTCTTGAAATACTTACTTTAACGAATTGAAAGACGATTTATTTATAAGCAGGATTCGCCCGATTTAAATCACTTGATTTAAAACACGATTTTATTCAATGATTTAAATCAAGTATTTTTTTTATATTAATCAATAATTTGAATCAAAAGTAAAATGAAAATAAATATATTCTCTATATAAAAACCGATAAATCAGGCAACTAAAGACTAAGACGAACAATAACAATATAAAATGACCGGCAAAAAAAACCGGCCACTATAAATTAGCTACAACTTCAAAGCTGGCTTTCTCGCGAACCGCGCATTCGCTTTTGATGATTCTTTTTTTGATGGAAAGGTTGATTCTTCTGTAATAATCCTGCGATAGTAATTTTCATTCAGATTTTAATTTGAGCATATACGGGGTGAAAAAATTGAGAAAAACTTTTTTTCTCGAAATTTTTAACACCCTGTGGGGTGCAGCTGCTACAGCAGAGGGTATTACATGGAATCAAACAGTAGTACAGTCTTTTCTGAGCATTTTGTTTTTTTATTCACTCTATTATCTCTGTTATTAAAGAGGATGCAGTATATTAAAGCTATCGCCTGTGAAAACAAGACGTGTGACAATAGTAGCTGATGACCGTTTTATTGTTCTTAGCAACCGTAGAACGACAGCTGCAAAAGCTCGGCGTCGTCTTCAAATGGTGCATGTTGTTGATGTAAGTCATAGAACCATTCGCTGAAAAGTTGCTGGAAGGCAAGTCTCTTGCAGCAGGTCTGGCTGCAAGAAGGCTGCCAAATGGAGGAAAGTCCTTTTTAGGGATGAGTACTGGTTTTGTCTACTATCATGGTCGGGAGCGAATGTAAAGACGTTGAAATGAAAGATTTGTGGACTATACAATTATGAAACGCGAATGTTTCGATGGTGGTTCTGTGATGGTGTGGCCAGAAATTTCCAAAGAAGCCTATACAAATTTTTAATCTTGTTAAAAGTGGCGACCTTGAAAACAAAAACTGGGCACCCGAAACAGTTTTGCAGAAGCACTTACATTTTCTTAGAAATGATAATTCTTACATAATTACGTACGTCCTTAATTATTGTAAACATCTGTTCTCAGTTCTGGTATACGGCAAAAACAAAGACAAATCGAAAATTAATAACGTGCGGCATCGAACTGATTAGGTTCGTAATTGATTCCTGAAGAATTGCGGCAAACTCTTCTTCAAGAGCAATTCGTAACTCCTGAAGGTTGTCCAGTAGGACAGAACGACGATGAATGCGTCTCTGAAGTTGGCCCCAAAGATGTTCGATAGGGTTAAGGTCCGGGCTACACGCTGGCCACTCCATCCTTTCAATATCCACCTCATCAACATATTCGCTAACCACACGAGCTACGTGCGGTCGCGCATTGTCATGCATTAGCATGAATTCGTCACCAATAAAATGGGAATGGGGCACGACAGCTTCTTGCAGAATATCTTGGATATAACGGTGGGCATTTATCGTGCCATTTTCAACAAAGATGAGCGCTGTACGCGTTTTCGTCGAAATACCCGGCCATACCATGACCGAACCTCCATGAAACCCATGGTACCCTTTCCGAAATTGTGCAGGTCGCAAACCTTTCATTACGACGTCTCCACACTCGTTCTCGACCATCAGGTGATCGGAAACAAAATCGGGACTCGTCAGTGAAGAGCACCTTACCCCATTGTTCCATTCCCCAATTCATATGTACGCGCCTAAATTGAAGACGTGCCCCTAGACCTAGAACTAGAAACATTTGGCTTTAGAAGTACGACTGTTAAGACGGCTAAACCCGAATCATTCTAGTTTGATTTAGAAGGCTTGAGTCTACAGACGCACGGCTAGAGCTTGCAATACCGGGATCCCGGACAATTTTGGTCCGGTATTAAAAACCGGTATTGATGGCAAAATACCGGTATTTCAGTATTATTTTTATTTAGCGCCCTCGATGGCCGGGGACGGCCGAGGTCTTCGAAAACGGCTGTGCTAGTTTGAAGTTGTGCTAGAAAATGACGTAGATGATTCTTGCTTGTTATCTATCTTCTGTCCGTTTTAAGTGTACATTTTCAAGTGACATTTTTTGACGTTTCATAAAGAAAGTGCTAGCCGGAGGCGACCGATCGAAAACGGCCGTGTTTGTTTAAAGCTGTGCTGGAAAATGATGTTGACCAAACAGATATTTGTTATCTATATTATATCCGTACTAACTTTATTTTTTCAAGTGACATTTTTTGATCAGTGTAAATACCATCTACGAAGACTCTACCTTTGATGACGACAACTTAATGTTCGTATTCAATAAATTTGTCATACCTAGCCAACAATAAAATACTTTGCATACAACTATTTTTGGAGTTTTTACTCCATAATGGTGTTTCAGGTCAGTTTGATTCGTGTAGTGTACCACCAAGTATAACAGTAGTATGATAAGTCTGAGAAACTACCAATAGCCATTATGTTAAAGTTTCTTTTTTGAATCTGCACCTTTCAAGAAAATTCCAAAGCAGGGATTTGAAAGAATTTCACAGAGCTTCAGATGATGAGGTGTAATTTCATTTTTTGACGCGGCAGTGAAGTTGAACCTTTGGACCAAGTGAAAGACAACAAAACAATAATGGTATCCAGACCTTTAAGTCTATTGGTACTTTGTACAGATTCCTAATATCTTTCCATTTTTTGATTATCTTCTCAGATTCTGTATCTTATGCTTTGTTGCTAATCTAAAAATATAGTAGGAATTAACCTGTTGTTAGTAGAGGTGACGCCACAGAGGGGAAAAAAATCTTACAATTAGATATATCTAGTGATAGTAATTTAGTGAGTAAACTTTTTTATAGTAATACCGGTATTCCGGTTTTAAAAATTTTGAATACCGAATACCGGTATTGAGATTTTGGTCCGGTATTGCAAACCCTACGCACGGCTAAACCTGAAACTTTCTAGGTCTACTGTTAGTTCTAGTGCTAGAGTTTGTCTAGTTTTATTTGTTATTCAGCGCTAGGTTGTTGTATATTTTATTGAACTATAACGGACACTGCGTCCCCCGTATTGATCCGTTATATCGAGGTTTCACTATATCAAATTATATTGACATGTTGCATTTTATGTGTAATTTTCTGGCTTTTTCCACTCCTCATTTGTTGCACATATTGGAGTGGAAGAGCCCAAATATTGTGAAGACCCCTCTCTATTGAAGCTGAAAAACAAACAATACATAAAAAATGTTTTAAAGTTTGGTTTTTTTGTGAAATCCACCACTGCAAAGCGGTAGCAACTTCCTTGTAGAAAATGGTTCTATTTTCGCCTCTAGCTTAACTATTAGTGGTAGTAATCCAGTCTTCCTCTTCCATCGTCAAATTATATTTTGTTTTAGTTATATCTAAACTAAAAACAATTAAATGGTAAGCCCTGTTTTAAAATTTCTGATAAACTTGTATTTGAAACAATGATTATTCCAATTTTTCATCAAATGAACTTTCTAATTTCTTTCACTCTTCTTCAGCATCACATAGAGAAGCACCTTTTTTGTAAAGTGTCAAGTCCGTGGGATATTGGAGTTAAGATATTTAAGTAATCTTCTGCAGATCGTTTGGGATTAATATTAGATACTTTTTGGTATATTATTTGGTATATATTGTAGGGTCAGTTTCGACTTATATGTATTTGCACACAATCCCCCATACTGTACCACCTCACATTGTTTAAAACTTTTCCATCAGTATATATGTTACCGACAATCTGTATAATCCGGTATTCTATACAATACCTAGGTAATTTATAGTATACCTAAAACGTTTAGATAATATATATGAAATATTATTAATTTTATACTTTGCCTAGGTATTCTATAAAATATCGAAGCTGGTAATGTATGTAAAACGCGAGAACAGACGAGAGAGAATTTTTGTACTTACTCAATTCTGAGA